TACTTGTGTTAGACAAGGAATAAGAAAGACTAGAGAAGAAGTAATGCTTTTGAATTTTGGTGTTTGGTACTGTTGATAGCTTAAAGAATAAATAAATCTATATTGGAAGAAATGCAGCCATAGTGCTCCTTTGAAGCAAAAGTGTGAGACTTTGTCTCACGTCCTTGGCAGATGTTTTCAGGAAGTGCCATTCCTTAGAAGGGGGATAACATGCCTTAAAAGGAGTAAAGTCAGTGAAGAGAAAGAGGATCCTCAGTGAAATGGATTGACACAGTGACTTCTAAGTCCCTTACTCTGCTTTCCATACATCTTCCAACAGTTTTGATCTCTGAGCTGCTCCAGCTCAGAGATCCTGTTTTAGAGGACAACACATGTGGCCAGCTTCTTTACTTTCTTTATTCTCTGTTCCGTTTGATCTAAGTTGATAATTTTCTGCTGTGGAACTTGGTTAGATCTTTCAGTCAGAACCTTAATATCTTTAACAAGACAGTAGGGGGCCTGCTAGCTGAAAATTCAGAAACGTGTTTGTTCGTTGTAGCCCTTTGTTAACATTTTACACAGTTCATTTTAAAGTGTCTCTTCCCTCTTGCACTTTGAAGTGTCAAGCATAAAACACTCAACTTCTTTAAAAATTTGCTTAGAAATTCTGTTTTCCAGTGAATGTTCAAACATGATTCAGATGAATTCTTGGCTTCAGTGTAAAAAGCATTCTGCTTTCTCCACTGCCCAAGAAAGTCTTCTTTGAAATCCACCAGCAGTACATTCAATAATATCTGCACTTTTAGAAATACTCTATAATTTGCACCATATATATTCTCTAAAAAAGAGACTTTCTGACTTGCTTAACTTTTGGTGAATTCTTTTTCTGAATTCTTTACATTGTATAATCTATATGTTAAGGAGGGGGAGGATACTAATATTGCTTAAAATTTTACATTGCAAAGATGATAAATATGTTCCAAGCAGTAAAGAACAAAATCCACTGCCATCACGTCTGCTGCAATTTACGACCTTCCATCAAGTTTCTGAAGAGACAGAGTTTATTTCTTTTGTGGAGTGGCTGGTGGATTTGAACCACTAACTTTTCAGTTTCTTAGGTGCCATCGAGTTGCCTGTGTCTCATAGTGATTCTGTGTACAACTCTGAAGCCTGCCCTATTCTGAGCCAGTCTTACTGACTCAGACACACCTACCCCCATTAACTCAGTTACTACATCAGTCCATTTCATTCAGGTATTCCTCTATTGCACTATCGCTTCACCTTTCCAAGCATAATGTCCTTTTCTAAGGACTGGTCCCTCCTGGCCATTTCCCGAAGTATGTGAGACAAAGCTTGAAAATTCAAGCCTCAACAAGAAACTTAGTTTTTACTCTCTCCAATAGGGTTTTCTTGGCCATCCATGGTATGTTGAGGACACTTCTCCAGCACCACAGTTCAAAGGCATTGATTTTTCTGTCATCTTTAGTCATTGTCCAGCTCTCTGATGCATAGCAAGTAATTGCAGAGACCATGGCCTGGAACACCCTAGTCTCTAGACTGGCATCAATACTTCTCAGTACTCTGGAGAGGTCCCTGACAAAAGATTTTCCCAGTGCAATTCACCTTTTGATTTCCTGACTGCTGGTGCTAGGAGTGTTGATTGTAGAGCCAAGCAAGCTGTAATTATTAACAATCTCAGTCTCTTCCCGATCCATCATGATACTGCCAGTTGTCACAGTGGTGAGAATCTTTTGCTTTCTTGATGTTCAGCTTCAATCCATATTGAAGACTATAGTCCTTGACCTGTAGCAAGCACTTAAGATCCTCCTCAGTTTCAGCAAGCAGGGTTGTGTCAACTGCATAACATAGGTTGTTAATGCATCTTCCTCCATTCTTGATGCCACATTCTACCTCCTAAAGCCTAGCCACTCAAATGATCTGTTCTCCATATAGATTGAGAAGGTATGGAGACAGGATGCATTCCTGATGCACTCCTTTTCTGATTTTGAACCATACAGTGTTTCTTAGCTCTGCTCTAAGGACTGCTTCCTGGGCTGAGTATAGGTTTCACATGCGCACAATCAAATGTCTGAGAGTCCCATTTTCTTCAAGGTCAGCCACAATTTGTTGTGCTCCATACAGTCAAATGCCTGTGGATAGTCATTGAATCACAGATGGACATTCCTCTGGTACTCTCTGCTTTTTTTAAAAAAAAAATTTATTAATTTTAATGAACATTTACAGAGATTTTGAATTTCCATTCATTCATTGTTGCACATTTTTCCCTGCCCATCCCTCCCCACCAGTTTACTCCTCTTTTTGAAAAATAAAAAAAATTCTTTCCTCGGTATACAATCCCTCCCAAAACCCCCCCTCCCCGAGTACACTCCACTATGCAACCTTTATTCTGGACTCTTGTGATAACCATAATCCCTATCATATATCACTTTTAAATTGTTCTCTCCCTCCTCTGTTTCAATGCAGTATACATAAGTTATCCAGTTTTTCTCAGTCTTACCCTAACCCTGATGTCAGTCCCATTCTACAACAGTGGCGCCATGCAGTGTTTGTCCTTTTGGAACTGAGATATTTCACTTACCATAATGTCCTCCATTTTGAATACTTATGCATGAGTTCCTTGTTTCCCAATGCAGTGTAGTATTCCATTGTGTGAGTGTACCACAGCTTCTCTATCCATTTGTTTGTTGATGGGCGTTGGATTGTTTCCAACTCCTTGCTATTGGGAACAGAGCCGCGATAAACATGGTGTGCATCTTTCTGCTTGGATGTTGGTTATGGTCTCTTTAGGGTATATTCCCAGTAGTGGAATTGCTGGGTCAAATGGTATCTCTATTTGCAACTTTTGGAGAAAGCGCCACACCACTTTCCACAGTGACTGTACCATCTTACACTTCCACCAACAGTGAATAAGGGTTCCAGTTTCTCCACAACCTCGCCAGCATTTGTTGCTTGCTGTTCTATTAAATTTTGCTATTCTGATTGGAGTGAGATGATATCTCATAGTTTTGATTTGCATCTCTGTTAGAGCTAGGGATTTTAAACATTTCTTCATGTGCTTATTGGCCATCTGAATGTCGTCTTTGGTGAATGCCTGTTAATATCCTGTGCCCATTTTTCAATTGGATTATTTAGCTTGTTTTGGTGCTCAAGTATTTTATAGATTCTGAATATAAGTCCCTTTACTGACATGTCATTACCAAATACTTTTTCCTAGTCTATGGCTTTCCTTTTTACCCTGTTGGAGAAGTTTTTGGATGTGCATAGGATTTGATTCTTAGAAGGTCCCATTCATCTATTTTATCTTTTCCTGTTTGTAGATTACTCTCTGCTTTTTATCAAGACCCATCTGACATTGGCAGCGTCTTCAGTGCCACGACCTCTTCTAAACCCAGCCTGTACTTCTGACAGTTCTCTGTTAATATGCTGTTCAGTTGTTTTTTAATAATCTTCACCAGGGTTTTGCTTGTGTGTGATCTTAGTGATACTGTTCAATAATTTCCACACTCTGTCAGGTCATCTTTATTTGGAGTGGGAATAAATATGGATCTCTTCCAGTCAGTTGGCCAGGTAGTTGTCCTCCTCATTTCTTGGCACAACCTGGTGAGCACATCCAGAGCAGTATCTTTTGTTGAAATATATCAATGAGTTTTCCATCAATTCCTGGGGCCTTATTTTTTGCCAAGTCCTTCAGAGCAGTCTGCACATCCTCCTTAAGCACCATTACCTCTTGATCATATGTTTCATGAAATTATTCTTTGTCAACCAGTTCTTTCTGGTACAGTGATTCTGTGTACTCCTACCATTTTCTTTTAATACTTTCTGGATCATTTGATATTCTGCCCATAGCATTTTTAAGTATTGCAACTTGTGGCTTGAATTTGTTCTTTATTTCCTTTAGCTTAAGAAATGCTGAGTGAGTTTGGCACTTTTGATTTTCTGACTCCAGCTCCTTGCACATTTTATTATAATTCTTTGCTTTGTCTTCCCAGGCTGCCCTTTGAAATCTTCTATTCAGCCCCTTAATTTCTTGATTTCTTCCTCAGCCCCTTAATTTCTTGATTTCTTCCCTTTACTTGGGCTTCTCAGCACTCAAGTGCAATAGAGTCTTTTCTGATATCCACTTTGGTCTTCTTCCTCTACCTTTATACCTTTTGCATTGTTCGTGGATGATAGTGTTGATATCCTCCCACAGTTCATTTGGTCTTTGTTCAATAGTGAGAAACTTTTATCTTCTTGATGTTGAGCTTTAATCCATATTAAAGACTACAGTCCTTGATCTTTTGCAGCAAGTGCTTCAGGTCCTCCTCAGTTTCAGCAAGCAAAGTTGTGTCATCTGAATAATAATGTAGGTTGTTGATGAGTCTTCCTCCAATCCTTATGCCACATTCCTTTCCATAGAGCCCACCCTCCTGAACAGTCTGTTCTGCATATAGATTGAAAAGGTATCCCTGTCATACACCTTTCCTGATTTTGAACCATGCACTGTTTCCTTGTTCTGTCTGAGGTCCAAGTATAGGTTTCTCTGTCTTGCTTAGGAACCCTGATGAATAAAGCTGGTGAGCTTCTGGGAAAATAGGCATTACCTGGTGGGGTGAGGCAAAAGGGGTCTCAGATTCCTTCTGTGTGCAAAGCTCTGAGGTTCGAGACACTAATTAGGGATGCAAAAAATAAACCCAGTCTCTGACCATATGCAGAACTATGGAGTTTTCAAGTTTTACAAGTTTTTCACAGTAGCTTTAAATGAAGCTATCGTATATCCTGTATTTATACTTTTTAGCTAATTTTAAATGGTTACCAGGTCTTTTCTAAGGGTCAGAAAGCTTCATGCACATTAAAAGTCCTGTGTTTCCTCACTCTAATACCTGATTCCATAAGATGAATCTCCTTAAAATCTCATAATTAAATTATCAGTTTGACAGCCCTGAATTGTAATTTTAAGTACCATTTTCATATGTGCTACTGTAATAAGTCTGATTGTTTGTATTTATTCTTTTTCCTAGTCAATGATGAATCTAGTCGAGATACTGATGTCACTACCAGGGAGCACCTGGGTTCCAGCAGTTCCCTCCAGTCTCGTGAAGAGAAGCAAGAACCTGTTGTGGTAAGACCCTATCCACAGGTGCAGATGTTGTCCACTCACCATGCTGTTGCATCGGGCACACCTGTCACTGTGACAGCCCCGCCAGCACATCTGACGCCAGCAGTACCTCTGTCATTTTCAGAGGGACTTATGAAGGTAAGAGGCTGAAAATTTCACATTGAATCAGAGCTCAACCCTGGCAGATATGAGACAGTTACCACACCATCTTGGTCTGTATAGTAGAATCAAATTTTTAATTTTCATTAACTAGTTCAGTTAACAGTTGCCCTCTAAACTCAGTAGTACTCTGCTGTGGACAAGTGTTCTGTGCCTGGTGTAGTGGTTCTAGCTATGTCTAATCTTGTGACAATTGGCAGTTTGAGTCACAATAGGTCTTCTCTTTCCCATTATAAAATTAATTTTAAGTCAGTTGGTATAGATATGCTGATCCACCTTTTATCTTAGAGTAGCAATACTCTTCTCCAAGTTTTATATTCAAATCTTGTTGATATGGTGATATGTTTTAGTTGCTGGCAGTTGCTATTAGTTGAGTCAAGTGCTTCTCATAGCGACCCTGTGAACAACAGAGCTGAGCCTTGTCCTGTCTTGTGCATTTTTCATCATCCCAGATATACTCATACCCGTTGTTCCAATCACTGTGTTAATCTATGTTGGGGAGAGGGTCTTCTTCTCTTACACTTACTTCTAACCTCCATCTGCATGGGCCATAATATGTATCATGGCTTTATTAATATTAAATTTATTATTCATAATTAAGCTGTGCTTTATTCCTAGTTTCTTTATTCTCTGTGTCTTTGAGTAAGTTTACTTAGACTTATTGTATGCTTCCTCATAAGAAAAAAGGAGATGTTAGTATTACAATGGAAAAACTCTGATGCAGAGAGATAAAATACGTAAGATTTCTGATGTTTTTCCTTGTCCCTCCAGGTAGGTGTAACTTAAGCACTGTAAAGTGTATGATGGGATGTATTTCTAGTAAAAGTAAAAGGCTAATTATATATTTTATGTGGTTTCTCGTTTGCAGCCACCCCTGAAGCCCACCATACCTAGCCGTCCTATTGCTCCAGCTCCACCTTCCTCCTTGTCACTTCCACCCAAGGCTCCAGGGCAGGTTACCGTGTCCATGGAGAGTAGCATCCCTCAAGCTTCAGCCATTCCTGTGGCAACAATCAGTGGACAACAGGTTTTTTACTCCTAATTTGCTACTTTTCTAACTGAGATGCTAATGCAGTAATATGTTTAGCAATGTACTAAGTAAATATTTATGTGATCATTGATACTAATAAAGGGAAGATTGCATCAATGAAAAGGTACTGACATAAGGATTAAAAGTGATTGAATTTATCTTACAGGCAGTATATATGGCGTACCTGCTCTGTGCTAGGACCTCCTGTCTATGTTAGATGCACATGTAGTTCCATACTGGTTTTGTCCTTGAGGAGCTCAAAGTCCGCTTAGTCCTTGGTCTAAATAGAAAACTTTGATGGGATCAGATGGCTTTCCTGGCAGTAGAAAGTGCTTTGTGATTTGATGTTTGCCTGTTTTAAATTGTTTATTGAAGTGTGCTGTTGCATTGGAACTGGCCCATAGCTGACCCTCCAGCAGATTTTCAGAGGCAGTAAATCAGATAGGAGATTGCCCATTCTCCTGTGAAGCAGATTCAAACTGTGTATCTTCGGGATTGCAATGTGCCTTCTTACACTGAGCCAGCAGAGCTCCCCTTTAAATTGCTTACTAATGGAAAATCCAAACCTCCAAACTCTTACTGTTATATTTTCAAGAATACTTTTTGTTTCAATTCTGCTTATGTGCCATTTAGTTGGAACTGACTCATAGCTGACCCTCCAGGGGATTTCAGAGGTTGTAAATCACATTGAAAAAAATTGCCTATTCTCTCCCTCAGAGGAGCTGGTGAAATTGAACCACATGCCTTTGGGTTGATTACACAATTCCTTATCCTTCAAGGCCACCGTGCTTATCTCAAGAATAGTTAGTATAAAGGAAATGGTAAGAATAGGAAAGAGGCCAGGACACAGAAGGTAAGTGTGAATAATTTATACTGGAAGTGAGCATATCTAAATTTAGTAGTCAGATACGTCATCTGATTCTGGGACCAGGGGAACTTAAGCATTTGTCGGTCCCTCACGCAGAATATGTTTCTATTTACATGGGTCTTTGTGCAGTGTGATTACCCTCAGCCCTTTTATTTTAGGTACTTAAAGAAATAACCCAGCCCACGTTTGAAAGCCACTAGTTCCCAGAGAGTCTCGCTCTCTTATGATCAACCACACGAAATTCGCATTTCATGCTTTTTGTTACAGGGACATCCCAGTAACCTGCATCATATCATGACCACAAATGTACAGATGTCCATCATCCGAAGCAGTGCTCCTGGTCCCCCCCTTCACATAGGAGCTTCTCACTTACCTCGAGGTAAAGCTTGCGAGTACTTTTCATAGTCGAGAACTTGTCTTGTTTTCTTCTTGTGTGCAGTTGGTTAATTGTATTGTTTATGCTCTAGAAATGGCAGATATACATGTGATAGAAAGTATGGTAACACTGAATGTGTGTAATATCAGATTTCAGGACAATAGAAATAAATTTGGCAGCACACTGTGTATGTGCCGTGAGTTGACTATAACTCATAGTGACACTATAATTCTGCCATATCCTGAGACCTTCTCACCATCTCTGACACACTTAAACCATTTCCACAGTCATTGTGTCTATCCATCTCATTCAGAGTCTTCCTCTCATGTGATTACCCTCCTCCTTTCAAAACATGATGTCCCTTTCCAACGACTGGATCCCTCCTAAAACATGCCCAAAGTGGGTGAAATGGAGTTTTGAACAACCTGATTTCACCCTCTCCAAAACAGACCTTTTTAGTCTTTTGGGAGTCTGTGGTGTGTTCTGTACTCTTCTCTAATACTACAACTCAAAGCATCAATTCTTTTTCTGCAATCCTTATTCATTGTCCAGCTCAGATGCATAGCAAACAGTCAAGACTATGGTACATCTTAGTCTCAAGACATCATTGCTCTCTAGCACTGTGGAGAGATCCCTTACAGCACAATTTTATAAATCAACTGGTCTTTTGATGTCCTGACTGCTGGTACTGTTGATTTTGGATCTGAGTAAGATGAACTTGTTAACGACCTCATTTTTTTCTGTATCTATCATGATGATGCCAGTTGGCCTGTTGATGAGAATCTTTGTCATCTTGATGTTGGGATGCAATCTACAGTCCTTCTGCCGCAAACACTTCAAGTCCTCAATTTTGGTGAGCATGGTTGTATCATCTGCATAACACAGGTTGTCGATGAGTCTTCCTCCAATCCTGATGCCACATTGTTCTTCATAAAGTTTAGCAGTATTAGCATAGTATTATACAGCATTAGCTTGATTTAATAAATGCTTATTTTTTGTTGCAGTATAGCATAATGTATACACGTGTTTAGACTCCTCTAGCTTTAGAAGGGAAAGGGGTGTGTGTGGGTGTCTGTGTGTTCAAATACAATACTATGCACTTTTTAAAAAAAAAGTATTTTTATTATTTTTGTGTGTGTGTACCATCAAATCAGATCTGACTGGTATAGAAGGAGATTGTTCCTCCTTCTCCAGCAGAGCATCTGGTGGATTTGAACCGCTCACCTCTGGGATTGCAGTGCAGCTTCTTGACAGTAGGCCACTAGAGCTTTCCGTTATGTACATTTTTAATATGGTCTAAATCTTGTCCATTATAAATGTGGAATTACTCTCTAAAGTTAGGGTAGTCTCAATAATTTCTTCACCTTAATAGCCCAAATGTATTAATAATGAGTACTTTTAAAGTTTAGTGATAATGTTTTTGTTGTGTACTGTAGAGTCGGAACCAACCCATAGCTGACCCTTTGAGAGGTTTTCTGAGGCAGTTAATCTCATGGGAGGAAACTGTCCATCCTTCTCTCATGGAGCAGCTTTTTTTTTTCCAGTACCTGCAGTGTAGCTTCAACTTCCTCTTTCATTACCATTGGTTCCTGCTTCTATGGTACTTCTAAAATTTTTAAGCGTCAGTAAGTTCTTTTTGGTACCATGACTTTGTGTATTCCCTCCATCTTTTGATACTTTAAGTGGATCCCAGCCTAAAACTGACTGTTAATTAATATAAAAGACCAAATAACCTATACCTGACTATTAATTAAAGACCTTCTATCCCACAATTGAACGTTAATCAATTCTGAAAGACTGAACAGCCTACAGCTGACTATTAAAAACCACACCACATCACAACTTTTGACATATCAGAAAGAACTACCTTCTAGATTCCACCAGCTTCAAACAGTGGTTTGATACCTAGAGAAAAATAAATCCACTCAAAGTGCAAGATGAGTAGATTTTAATATAATAGCTAGGGAAAGCTCATTAGTACAAGTCACAGATTCTACACTGTAATTAATATTTGATAAATTGCCACCATTGAGTTTCATTTATAATTGCAATTATTGCACAGACTTGTTTCTCCGTGTACCATGTGTATAGGTGGTGGGTTTTATCAAATACATTTTAACCCAAAGTATCATAGCTGATTAAATACACAAGCACATAAAAGAAAGACATTTGTAGAGATGTGAAAGTTAAATACACTTCTCAGTATAGCTGCTCTCACTGAAAAAAATTGGTATGTGGTGAGTTTGTAAGAGTGCAGGAGTAACACAGTTAAGAATGTGCAGCTACACAAAAAATGCCTGGAGGGCCATGGCCATCTTGGAAGAAAGACCCACCTATTTTCTGAAAAGTCAGCTAGAGAAAAACCCTTTCATAATAAATAGAAGGCTTCATGGAGGTGAGACTCATAGACAGGAAGTGGTAAATGTATGATATAATTGTAGGCAGTTTAATTAATGTTAAAAAGCCAAATGTGTATGAATGGAAAACTAATTTGCTTTTTAGCCTGTCATTCAAATCACAGTAAAAACCAAATCATGCTAGTTCACATCAATTCACATGACATTACTATACACTGTGAGATAAAAGCTACATGATTACAAGTGGTTTGGTTTCATATAATGTGTTTATTGGTATCTTGTTAAATATTTTGAGGTAAATTTGTGGTTTTGGTTGGTTGGGGTTTTTTTTTTTGTAGCAACATGTTTATTGAATCTAAAGGTATTCATTTCCTTTTCATACAGATTTTCATAAGTCCATCTATATTTCATTATTTTTTTGTTGTTTGTTGTTGCTGTATACATTGAATCAGAATCGACCCATACATGACCCTCTGGTGGGTTTTCAGAGACAGTTAATCACACAGGAGGAGATTGTACATCCTTCTGCAGAGCAGCTGGTGGATTCAAACCACGTGCTTTCACAATTGCAGCACAGCTTCTTTCCACCAATTTATGGAAAAATTAGTATATGTTATTGTATGATAAATATGTATACTGAGAAGTAAGTCACTGTAAATTAACTTGAGTATTTTGTTTTTTAACTTTGAGAAGAATGGGAGTCCCAGAACACTGAATTGTGCTCATGTGAAAACTATACTTGTACCAGGAGGCAGCTGTCAGAACAGAGCAAGGAAACACTACATGGTTCAGAATCGGGAAATGAGTGTGTCAGGGATGCATCCTGTCTCCATATCTTTTCAATCTATATGCAGAACAGATGATTCAGTGGGCTGGACTTTGTGAGGAGGAATGTGGCATCAGGATTGGAGGAGGACTTATACCAACCTTCATTATGCAGATGACACAAACTTCCTTGCTGAAATTGAGGAGGATTTGAAGTTTTTGCTGCAGAAGGCCAAAGATTGTAGTCTGCAATATATGTTGAAGCCCAACATAAAGAAAACAAAGATTCTTACCACTAGGTTCACTTGGCAGCTTCATGACAAGGAGATTGAGATTGTTGACAACTTCAGCTAGCTTGGTTCCACAATCAACACTCTGGGAACTGGCATTCAGGAAATCAAAAAAACAAATTGTATTGGGAAAATCTGCTGACAGGGACCTACCCAGAGTGCTTCAGAAGAGTGATGTCAGTGTAGAGACTAAGGTGCACCTGAGCCAAGCCATGGTCTTCACAGTTACTTGCCATGCATCAGAGAGTTGGACAGTGACTAAGGATGGTAAAAGAATAATCAATGCCTTTGAGTTGTGGTGCTGGGGAAGAGTGTAAGACATACCGTGGACTACCAAGTTGCTCCTTGGAGGCAAGAATTATGAAGCTCCTTCTTATATATTTGTGTATGTTGCCAGGAGACACCAGTCCTTGGAGAAAGACATCATGCTTGGAAGGGTGGAAGAACAGCATAGGAGAAGAAGACCATGGTTGAGATGTATTGATACAGTAACTAGTGTAATGGGTGTAGATGTGTCAGGGGCCATGTGACTGCCTTAGGATAGGGCAAGGTTCAGAGGTATTGTATATATAATAGCAACAACAATAATAGTGCAACTTTTCATAATTACCCAGTTCCAAGATAGAAAGTAGAAGTAGGCAGGGTCACATAAACACTTTCACATCCTCTGTAATATTTAAGTATGGAGCGTGGCCTAAAGCTAAAATGTTTGAGAATTACGTAACTAGTTGTGATTTAAAAATTATTATTAAAAAAGCCCATTATTCTTACTATTTTCTTATGCAGTCTTACTCAGCCTATTTATATTGTGAGCTCCTAAACCATATTAAATAATGAAATTTTTTTTCAGGCGCAGCTGCTGCAGCAGTAATGTCCAGTTCTAAAGTAACCACAGTCTTGAGGCCGACTTCTCAGTTGCCAAATGCTGCCACAGCGCAACCAGCAGTGCAACACATCATTCATCAACCAATCCAGGCATGTCTAGTTGGAAGATCATCCTCCAGAAAGTATTAGTGCCTGCTCTCAGTTATTCTGCTAGCTCCTGCATGAATCTTCATTAATTTTCAATCTAGTTCCCAAGACATAGTGAAGGCTGAATAAAGTGAAGTGTTGTATTATACATTCTGAGAACTTAGAGGAAAGTTAGTACAGGAAGGCTTTTGGTTGGACAGAGTGTTGTTGTGAGGATTCAGAGACATGAAAAGAAGGACCCTGTATAGGGAACATAATATGAGGGGGGAAGCAAAGGCTGCATGTTTTAACTTTAAGTATCTTCAGGCTGTGTGTATTATAACTGGCTAGAAATGAGTTGTTTAAGTTAGATAAGGGTTTATAAAGCCCTAAAATACTGTCTATACAATTTTGTGTGTTTGTGTGTGTTTCCAGGCAGACATTATGTTCTAGGAAATTATTTCCTTTTTACTACTGAAGTATTTAGTATATTTGTGGATGATTATGTGATACCTGTAAATTAGAGGCTCTCATATGGAAAACATCAAAGACTACAGCCTTCAATGTAGATTATTCATCAGTATCATAAAACAAAATCTCCACAACTGTACCAGTGCACAACATCATGATAGAGAAAGATTTCATTTTACTTGGTACAATAAAAACCCATGGTAGCAATAGCCAGGTTATCAAAAGACATTTTACATTGGGAAACTTGCTGTTAAGAATCTCTCTAATGCACAAAAGAATAAGGTATCAGTTTAAATACTGCAATGTGCTTAATCTACACTATGCTGCTTTCATTTGTTCATTCAAGCCATGCTTTTTCAGTTGTTCAATATGCATGTTAAAGTTGAATGAGGACAATTAACAAAAAATTGATGCCTTTTAATTGTGTTGGTGAAGAGTACTAAGATAGCATAGATTGATTGCCAAAAGAGGAAGCAAATCTATCTTGGATAAATTACAGTCAGAATGCTAGTGACCCTTTCCCACATATTTTGAGCACATGTGAGGTGCCACAAGAGGTACCTCTTCTCTAAGCATGAAGTATTTTTCCAAGAACTGTCATAGGAAGTGCCATACTTGGCAAAGAAGGTCAGCAAAAGAGAGAAAGACTCACAGTGAATTGAATTGACAGGGTGACTGCTATAATGCCCTTGAGGAGGGGGAGAGAGTGAGAATGATGGAGGATAGGGCTAAGTTTCCATTTGATGTTCAAAGAGTCTCTCGAGTTGTAATTGACTGGAGAACACCTAACAACATTATTATAACGTATAAACTTGATTTTATAGGCAACAGTCAAACACTTGAGACTTTTATTAAGAAGTAATATTTTATTAAAAAAAATAATCTCTGTAAGGTTGGCCTTAATGGTTTCCCATTGTGGACAGTGTTTGGTGGAACTCCGAGTTATAAAACAGATTAGGATGCAGGAGTGGCATACACTTCCTAAACCACATGCCTCTCTCTAGAAACTATGTACTTGTTGAAAGATAGCTATGAAAAGACATTAGGTCTTTTGTTCATAGAATATCTATGAGTTGATCTCCAATCTCAACGCCAGTCAACAACACCAAGCTTGGTTTAGCTGAACTACTTAAAAGATACGCAAATTATGCTTTCAAGAACTAGATGAATAATGTACATGATAACAGCTTCCTATAAGACATAAGCAGTTCTGATTAGGATATTACTTAGTACACATCCAGTCTAAATCTTTTTAAAAGAAAATACCTTACTAGCTAACAAAATTTGTTTAGAGATTGATTAGACACCCAAATGTATGTTGCCTATGGTATAAAAGGGATTCAAGAAACACCAAAACTAAGTCAAGGCGTTGGAAGGTATTTGAATTAACTTCAGTGTGAGATAAGCCATCCACAGTGGGAATAGTAGGTGAACAGTGGGCTGTAGGAGGAAAAATAGAAGTAAATAAAGGGCAGAGTTCTGTGATCTTAACTGTAAGCATGCAGGATCGTGAAGGAAAGAATCAGAACTCAGGTGGTAGGAAGAGTGACATTTGAGAAGCCTGTGGAGCCCAGTGTGGGCCTTGTTTATCAGATGACACTGTTACACATACTTGTGTAATGGTCATAATAATATCTTTCTAATGGCTTTCATAGAGTGCCTGGTTCCCAAGAATCTTTCATTGCATAGAATTCTGTTTTTTGATGCTCAGAAATGGCCTAACTCACATGGCCTGAAAGCCAGCAAACTGGCTTTCCTGTCTGGAAGACATTTGATGCTGTAAAGGTGTAATAAAATCTCTGTTCCTAAAACAGCAACAGGTCTGTGAAAACTATATCTGGAGAAAAAGGTATCACTATGCCTGAATTACAGGACTGAGTTTTTACTTAATTCTCTCTTAGTCTTCAAACCTTGACTTTATGAGAATTCTCAAATGTAAAAATAAGGAGAATTTGCTCTTATTTGGCCAATTTTATATTTATTAGGAAGCCTGAGTTATTACACATTTAATGTTTGACTTTATGCATTTCATTTTGTTCTTTTAAATGAAATGTTTTTTCTTTTCTTTTGGTAGTCCCGTCCACCTGTGACCACTTCTAACACCATCCCTCCTGCTGTTGTAGCAACCGTCTCTGCCACCAGAGCTCAATCTCCAGTCATTAGTACAACAGCAGCACATGCTCCTGACTCGGCACATAGGTACATGAGGTGGGGGAGTGTTTGAGAATGAAACCATGACTCCATCCTACTCTCACCTCCAAACCCTCATTTTTGTTTTTCTTCATTCCTTCATTTTACTTAGTAAATATCTATTGAGGTTTTTGGGTTTTAGGTTTTGTTTAGATTTGGGGTTCCCCCCCCTTAGGTTTTGTTTAATTGGTTTTTTCTTTTTAGTGTAAAAAATACATGTATGGGGATTCAGGGGATGGGAGCAGAAGGGTGAGATTGGGTAGAGATGAAATCACAGGGTTGCACAATTCAGTGAGTGGAGGGAGTGCATAAAGGAAATGAGAAAGATCGGGCAGGGACCAGAAGAGACAGGGTAATGATGGGCATAATCCAATGGTGATTAATTTTTTTTTTTTTAACAAAGAGATTGTCTTTTTTCATTTGTGAGTTTTCCATTTGGGAATAGGGGCACAGAGTCTCTGGCTGTTTCATGTTGAACAGGAGCATTGAGATGAAGGGGAAGGGGAGCAAATTTTAACACTTTACTGGTGGTCTTTATTTGGAGCTGCTTGCCTTCTTGTTCTGTTAGAATATATTGTTATAACGTTTTCTATCTTCTGGACTGCAAGGTGTTTGCATGGAGGAGTCCCATGGGAGTGGTTGGCTAAACTTTGAGTCTCCGTCCATCTTCATTTACTTAGCTAGCAGTTATATTTCTCTTTTGGTTTTTGAAATGGGCTCAGTATTCATGTTCTATAACAAGATGCAGTGTTCAGATTACCTGTAGGAAAGGAGACAAACCTAGAAAGAACTTAGGAGTTTAAAAAAAAAGGGCTTTGGAGGTGTTAACAGGGATACTGGAAGAGGAGATGGAGGAACGTGGCTTAGATAAAGTTCCTCATACACACCAAGTGGCTCTCCCTAGGGCCAGGGCAGGACCATGGCTGGGATAGCATTTCTGGTTCTAGTGTCTCCATCATTGCCCTCTTCCTCTCTGCCAAGTGGTTTAATTTTAACTCGAAGTAATTATTACTGTCCCCTTCCACAATGGAGAAGGGGCTTCCATAGTGGTGAATAGATAGACTTGAGGTTGAAAAAGTGAAAAAGTAAAAAAAGCAGTAGAACGAGGACTCAAACCAAGGTAGTCTGAAGGTTGGCCTGACACAGTGAGCTCCCTGCAACTCTTGAGTTGGCCATTTTTCATCTTCCTGTGCAAGCAAAATCCTGCTGAAGATCATTTTGAAAACCAGATTTTGTTTAGTTTTTATGAGCCATGTGCTAGTCTGGATACTAAAGATAAAGCAGAATATAGATTCTTGCCTAGTAGAGCTACACATAGAGCTACACATTAAACTAATATACTTTTTATTAGAGTGAGACAAGTACTTTGGTGAGAAATTAAGTAGAGATAAGGAATTTTGCAGTGGCAGAGTTGGCTGTAGTGAGAGAAAGGAAGGGAGAGAAAACTTGATTTGTAAAAATCCATTTGAAAAGTTGGACCATGGGGATAAGTGGGAAAAGAGCAGTCTTTTCAGTGGGATAAAACAAAATCCAAACCCCCACTACCATTGAGTAGTTCAGACTCCTAGCAATCTTTTCTTGAGGTTTCCATGGTTTATCTTTATTGGACTAGATTTCCTGTTGTCTCCGGAAGAGTGGCTGAAGAATTAGAACTCCAGACCTTTGCTGTTACCAGCCTGATTCTTTGTAAGCTATTCCACAAGTAGTTGTTGTTCTGTTCCATCGAGACACTTTTGACTCACAGCGACCCTATGTGCAAGAGCCCTAAACCCTAATCTATCCTGTGTCAGCTTCACTATCTCTGACACACCTACTCCCATTACCTCAAATCACTGAGTCGATCCTTTTCATCAAGGGTCTTCCTCTCTTGCACTGTCCCTCCATCCTCCCAAACATGATGTCCCTCTCCAAGGACTGGTCCCTCCTTGCTGCATACCCAAAGAATGAACCTTCAGATCCTTGCCTCCAAGGAGTAGCCTGGTTTAACCCTCTCCAAGACAAAGCTGGGTTTTTCTTAGCAGACCATGATGCATTCAGTATTCTTCTCCAGCACAACAGCTCAAAGACATCATTTCTCTTTCTGTTATCCCTAGTCATTGTCCAGCTCTCTGATGCATAGCATGCAGTAGCAAAGACTATGGCCTGGATCAGGCGCACCTTAGTCTCTAGCCTGATGTCGTTCCTCTTCAGTACAGAGGTCCCTGACAGCTGACTTTCCCAATGCATTTCATCTCTTGATTTCCTAGCTACTAATATCAAGAATATTGATTGTGGAGCCAAACAAACTAAAATTGTTAACTATCTCAATCTCTTCATCATCCATACTGATGCTGCCAGTTGGCCCAGTGGTGAGAATCTTTGTTATCTTGATGTTGAGCTTCAGTCCATATTAAAGGCTTCAATCCTTGGCCTTCTGCAGCAAGTGTTTCAAATCCTCCTCAGTTTCAGCAAGGAGGGTTGTGTCATCTGTATAACTAACACAGGTTGTTGATGAATCTTTCTCTAATCCTGATGCCACATTTTTCCTCATACAGCCCAGCCTCCAATCTGCATACAGACTGAAAAAGTATGGAGACAGACTATATCCCTGACGGACGTCCTTCCCAATTTTGAACCATGTAGTGTCTCCTTGCTCTGTTCTGACGACTGCCTCTTGGTTCAAGAATAGGTTTTCCATAAGCACAATCAAATGTTCTGTCATTCCCATTCTTGTCAGTGTCAGCCAGTTTGTTGTGATCCACACAGTCAAAAGCCTTTGCATAGTAAATGAAACACTAGATAAGACATTCCTCTGATATGTTCTGCTTTCTGCCTTATCCATCTAACGTTAGCCATAATATCCCTAGTACCATGGCCTCTTCTAAACCCAGCCCACATCTAACAGTTTACTGTTGCCCCAGACCTTTTTTGGATAATTTTCAGCAAAAACTTGCTTGCATATGATATTAATGATATTGTTTAATAATTTTCGCACTGTATCAGATCACCTTTCTTTGGAATGTGAATAAATAATCACTCTCTTCCAGTCAGTTGGCCAGGTGGCTGTTCTCCAGATTTCTTGGCACACCTTAGCACATCCAGGGCAGCATCTCTTTATTGAAATATGTCAATTGGTATGCCTACGTTAAGGATCTGAACAGAAGTAGACTTGCCATATATAAAAAGCAGCAAGGAAAGCCATGATTGGATATTGTTATGAGATAAAGACTTTGTTGGGAATCTGATGTCAAATTTCAAAAGTATTTTGAGCAAAGATGTACCATCCTGACATTTTAGTTGGATCATCTTGTACATTGTACAGAGGCTAGACTGTGAAGACGCAAGTTGTAATCAAATAAAAGACTATTGCTCTAGTCTGGGGGAGATGATGTGGGAACTAAAAGACTGATTATGAATATATTTTGAAGAATCAAAAGAATTTCTGAGGCATTCATGGCAATGAGGAAAGTTCCTGCCACGGTATGATGCTGGGTATTTGGTCTGTGCAACTAGGAGGATGGAGTGACTATTAATTATAGATGGACAACAATAGAAGGCCTAAATTTGAGAGGAAAAAAATTCCAGATCTTTTTTATCAGTGCATTTGAAGTTAAAGATGTGAAATCCAGGAGATAAGGGAAAAATTTGTGAGAAGACTTGACTTTTAACTGACTGGCTTATATCAGAATCATAAGTCTCAGGGGAGAGAGCCAGGACTCATTAGGGCAAGAAAGCAAGGCAGTGGGTATTTGTAGTAATGAGAAGAGTATCTTTTTTTGTTTTGTTTTGCTAATAAATTAATTCTACAGTCAGCATTGCAGAGGGTTGAGAGTTTGAAAAGGGAATAGTACAGTTAGGAGATTACAGAGTAAAATAGGGATAAAGTCTGACTGATGACAGATTGTCTTGGGGTTTTGACTTGTACTTAGTCTCTAACTCGAGAAGCTGTAAGTGTTGAACAAGGCTGTAAGATGTGGATCTTTTGGAGAAGGCATAGAGCTGTGGTCTTTCTTCAGTCCTGCTAACAGATGTGTAAATACCAAAGAAGTCTTTAGTACTACCATAAAGTAATTTATTAAACAAAGAAGGTGTAGTAGTCATGGAGAATAGAGCTATAAGAAGCTAAAAACCATCCCTGGAAAGCAAGGCCAAATTGTGAGAAAAAGATGTCAGAGATGTTTTTTAAGTTTATTTTATTGAGCTGTAAAGTAAGAAGTAATCAAACAGACAATTTTTAGAACAAAAGTTCCAGGATATTGAATTTTATATGGAATAACCAAGTGGCTCTCATACTAGGCTCATAAAGTTCAAAAGAGATGTTGGTGCTGGAGTGTTAGGTGTCATCAGTATGTTAGGTTGGCTGTATCTGTATCTCTTCAAGTAAAAGCAGTGAAATCAAAAGAGGCCTAGATCTTAATCCATGAGGCACCTTAACTGCAATTTCAGCTGTCATTTACTAGTTTTGTGGTATTAGGTAAATTTCCTAATTTCAATCCTTGTCCTCTGTTCAATAGAACATTGTGAAGATTATGTAGCATGTAATATAAAGATGCACAAATACTCAGTATAGACTCTTGTTGTTCATTTCAACTTTGAGGTACGAGTAAAATGTATGTATGTATGTATGCATTTATATTCAAGTTATATGAAATTTATTCATGTAAGTGGACATACCTGTAAAAATGACTTTTTACAAAAGTCATATAATCATGAAAGTATCAATTTTTTCCCATGTTGGAGATATTTGGCTAAATTTTTTTGCTGCTTTCTTTTCTCATGTCTTTGCTTATTGTGATAAAACTAGCTAAGAGAATTGCTTTTGCTGTGTCCCAAAGGCTTTGATATTTTGTGTTTTTCATTCTCATTTGTTTAGAGACGTTCTTTTTTCCTTCTTTTGTTACCCATAGTGTTGAGGCAGGTGTTACTTAGTTTCCAGATACTCTTGATCTTACTGATTTATAATTTTAAACCATTGTCATTGGAGAAGATGCTTTGTAGTGTTTGAATGTAGTTACCGGTATCTAGTTTTGCTTTGTGATCTAATACATGGTTAATTCAGTATAATTTCCTATGTACTGCTTACAGCCTTTTGAACTCTTATCATTACTCACCAAAGTAGATGTTTTTGTGGACTCCCTCACCACTCATTGCTGACCACCATTAAATTGGATCTGACTGGTACAGGAGGAGCATCAAGTGCATTCAAACCGCGTACCTCTGGGATTGCAGTGCAGCTTCTTGCCACTAGGCATCAAAGCTCCCCTCTGCGCCCCCCCCGCCCCCCCCGCCACATCACTTTAGAGGACTTTGCCCATCTTTTGCCTTTGAGGTGTGCGGTGTAACTCTGTATCCACTAGGACACCAGGGCTCCCACTTTATTGACTGTGTTAACCCAATTCTTGTGTTAACCCGATTTTTGCAACCCATGACTTTAAATATTTGATGCTTTTGATATTAAACTTAGTGTGCTGTATCAAGTATTGATCCTGTTTTGTTTTCTGAGTGGTTGCCTAGTCACTATTTTGGAATACTCCATTCTTGCAACCCCATGATATTTCAATTTTATTCTACTCATTTTTATAACTGTTGTTGCAATTTCACCAGCTTGCTTTGAATGTCAGCAATGTTATATTGAGATCTCTTGGCCATTCATCAGTTTTAACAAATTTTTACCATTTCTAGCAAAACCAAGATTCATTGCCATTGAGTTGATTCTGACTTAGAGTGACACCAGCGTGGAACTTCCAGGAATGTTCCCAGGACCATAACCTTTTTAGAAGCGGACCGTCACCTCTTAGTGGGTAGATCTAGACTACCACCTTAATTGTTACCAGTTACTGTTTAACAAGTGCGTTACATATGGTTCCTTACATCTGGTTAAGTTGTTTGTTTGTTGTTTAATGCCGTCGAGTCTGGTTAAGAGTTCTGTAAAATCAGGGAGGAGGTCGGTCACAGGTTGAGATCCTATGAGATCCTGTAAATCTTCCTCAGCAATTTTAACTAAAGTTTATTACATCATTACACATCTTATGACTTGGCTACAGAGTGAAGTGTGTAACAAGATTAGTAATTAGTAATTGGGGGAAGGGATTGTATAACAATGAAAGAATTTTTCTTTTACTTTTCAAAATGAAGGTTGCATAGTGGAGTGGACTTGGGAGGGTTTCTATAACAATGAAAGAATTTTTCTTTTACTTTAAAAAGAGAAGCGCGAACTGGGGGTACGTCAGGTAGGAGAAAAGTACAACAGTGAATGAATGGAAATCCAAAGTCTCTGTAAACTTTTATTAAAATTAATTTTTAAAAAAAGGAAAAAAGATTAGTAAAGTTTATTTTATTGAGGAATAAATAGTTAAGGATTAATTCATTCACTTCATGATAAATATTGATACCTTTATTTTAAAGTGAGACTAAAGGCAGTTTTCAGAAAGAACCTCCATGGGACATTTACTCCTTTGAGATGATTAAAGACCAAGTGTGCATAAACTATATGCATAGAAATGTGAGAAAATACAACTTTATGACTGATGACTCAAGATATGAAATAACCTCTGTTGTATTTATGGAAAAGTTATAAATAGTAATATCTTTTCTGCTATTTTAGTCGGCCAACTCTGTCTATCCAGCATCCACCATCAGCAGCAATCAGTATTCAGCGACCTGCCCAGTCAAGGGATGTAACAACAAGAATCACACTACCGTCTCACCCAGCGTTAGGGACACCAAAACAGCAGCTTCATACCATGGCTCAGGTGAGAAAAGAGACATCAAGAACCATCTGTGTACTTTATGGTAAAAAGAACTCTCGAGGGAGCTGTGATGATTTCAGTTCATAGGTAGTTGCACTGCTAACCTAAAGGCAGCAGTGCTAAGGATCCACCAGCAGCTCCAAAGGAGAAAGAGACATGTTATTTCCCACTATACTAATGAATTGACAGTACTGAAGGTGGTACTTGCTTTTAAACTACATTGAGTGGGATATGTTGCTTTTTAAACTATATGTTGTTTTTTAAACTGTGTGTTGTGATGTTTTCTTTACAGAAAACCATTTTCAGTACTGGCACACCAGTAGCTGCCGCAACAGTAGCCCCTATTTTGGCAACCAACACTATTCCTTCAGCTACCACAGCTGGTAAGTTGGTTACCCTGTTTCATCACAAAATGAAAATGGGCATGTACCTGGTTAGTTAATGTTCCCTTTCTGATCTTGTCTTAGAGAAAAAAGAATAGGCTAGGAAAATTATCTCCATTTTCCCCAAGAGCTTTATGAACTATAATGGATACAGAAGCCATAGTTAAAGAATTTTTTTTCCTTTCTGTTTTAGGATCTGTGTCACACACACAAGCTCCTACGAGTACTATTGTTACCATGACAATGCCTTCACATTCATCTCATGCTACTGCCGTGACCACCTCAAACATCCCTGTTGGTAAGTGTCTTTGGCCATGTGGAAGTTTAAAAGATTTTTAGGTCATCCAGCTGTAATTGATGACATTACATCTTTAATTCAGCCAAGGTTATTAAAATATATATATTGAAAAGGCTTGCTTTATCACTAGTATAAGCTTTCCCCATTTCATGAGTGCACGATTCAGGAGAATACCATCCTTACTTTGTTTTGAATCCAGCTACAACAGTGGTCTCAGAATTACAAAAGACCAAAGCAGAAAACTCATTGTCCTTGGAAATCACATTGTGGAAAATTTTTAGTAGCCTTAATGTTTTGCCTCAAGGATTCAATCTTTTTTTTAACTAATTGAGAATTAGAAAAAGTAATTTGAAAAAAGTGAGTGTGAGTTAGTAGTTGTTTGGTTACCAGTCTGAGTGTACAGCTTGTCATCCAGTGGCAGCTGTCTTCCTGCCTTTTGCATGCACAGTGAACCAAATGAAGCTGCTTTCTGTTCAGCACTTCATGTGTATAACCTTTAACTCATCTGGTAGAAAACATATCCTTTGGTACCTGCATGAGTGGTTGTATAGCTGTGATGCTAGCTAACATTGCGCAGAAACAACCCGCACTCTAATAGGAAGTGTTAGCTCAGCATCTCCTATTAGAGCTGTGTACTACTCACATTTGGTGTTAAGTGCCTTGCACCGTGGGTGATGAGTCATTGTAGTTGCAACTTTTGTGCCTATCAGTGGTGTAATCTGCTCTTTGTACAAATGGTTACTATCCCTTTGATGAGATTGCAACTTTGCATTCCAAATCTCCAGACATACTGTAAACAGAAAGGTCTATAGGGATAGTGAGGTATTGCTCAGTTCAGAATTATTTCCTGAATTTAGAGTCCAAATCATAGAGGAAAGAAAGAGAAATTGAAAATACTGGGATCATACTAACTTTTATTTTACTGTGAGGTATGTAGATTCTCTCGGAAACATCAGAGGACTTTAGAAATCATTGTGCAATAATCTGTCAGTTTGTCTTACTGTTATGCTTTTGGTATTTAAAAACCATCAGAGTCACCTGTGGTGGACAGGTTTTAGCAAATCTTCAGGACTAGGATAGCCTAAAAATAAAAAGTAGGGACTGCCTATAACCAGGCAGTTATAGAATAGATGAATAAGACCTTCTAAGAAATAAATTGCTATGCATATCAAAAAACTTCTCTAGAAACAACTATGAGATATCTCACCCCAGTTAGAATAGCAAAATTTAATAGAACAGCAAGCAACAAATGCTGGTGAGGTTGTGGAGAAACTGGAACCCTTATTCACTGTTGATGGAAGTTGTAAAATGATGCAACCACTGTGGAAGGCTGTATGGCGCTAGGACTATACCCCAAAGAGACCATAACTGACATCCAAGCAGATATATGCACACCCATGTTTATTGTGGCTTTGTTCACAATAGCAAGGAGTTGGAAACAACCTAAGTTCCCATCAACAAATGAATGGATAGAGAAGCTGTGATATATTGACACAATGGAATACTACGCTGCATTGAAAAACCAGGAATTCATGTAATATTATTCAAAATGGGTGACCCTGGAGGACATTATGCTGAGTGAAGTATCTCAGTCATAAAAGGACAAATACTGCATGGTGTCACTATTGTAAAACAGAACTGACATCGGGGCTAGGGGGGAGACTGAGAACAATGGGTTCAATAATATATATTGTATTGAAAAAGATATTAAAAAACCCTATGTATAATACAGCACACTTAAGTTATCTTTTGGACTAACAGACATGGCAATTGAAACCGAGATCTTAGAAATGGAAACACAGAGAAGGAGGAACAGCTGAAGCAGACACTAGAGATTTGAACGTGGAATGTGAGAAGTATGAATGTAGGAAAATTGGACATTGTTAAGAAAGAAATGGAATGCATAAATATTGACATACTAGGTATTGGCGAAATGAGATCGCTTGGAATGGGACATTTTGAATCAGATGATTTACTATGCTGGGGATGAAAAGGTGAGAAAAAATGGGATTGGTTTCATAATTAAATCATTTCTAGATCTATCCTGAAATACAATGTGGCGAGCGACAGGATAATATCCATACACATAACAAGGAAGTCCAGTGAATACCACTATCATTCAAATATATGCACCAACAACCAGAGCCAAAGAAGAGGAAATAGAAGATTTTTACCAACTTTTGCAGTCAGAAATTGATCAAACGTGCAATCAAGTTGCATTAATAATAATGGGCGACTGGAATGCAAAAGTTGGGGACAGGGGAAAAGACTCAGTAGCTGGAAATCATGGGCTTGGTGAGAGAAATGAGGCTGGAGATAGAATAATAGAGTTCTGCACATTCAATGATTTGTTCATTGCAAATTGCCTTTTATAAGAAACATAAACGCAGGCTATACACATGGATTTCACCTGATGGTATGCATAGGAATCAAATAGATTACATTTGTGGAAAGAGTTGCTGGAGAAGCTCAATATCAGCAGTGAAAACCAGGCCGGGTGCTGATTGTGGGACAGACCACCAACTACTGATATGCAAATTCAAGCTGAAGTTGAGGAAAATAAAGGCAAGTTCGCGGGAACCAAGATTTGACCTTAAGTCTATCCCACTTGAATTTCAACACCATCTCAGGAACAGGTTTGAGGACTTGAGCACCAGTGAGTGTAGACCAAATGAGCTCTGGGAGGATATAAAAAAAATCGTTCATGAAGAATGCAAAAGATCGTTACAAAGGCTCAAGAAGAAGTAAAGACCAAGATGGATGTCAGATGAGACCCTGAGTATTGCATTAGAGTGCCGAAAAACCAAAGCTAAAGGAAGAAATCAAGGGAGCTCTGGTAGCCTAGTGGCAAAATGGCTGCGCTGCAATCCCAGCAGTACATGGTTCAAATCCACCAGATGCTCTGCTAGAGGGAGTGGGCAATCTCCTCCTATACCAGTCAGATCTGATTTGATGGTACACGTAAAAATAATACAATAAAAAAGAAAAAAAGAAATCAAAGAACTGAATAGAAAATTTCAAAAGGCAGCTCGGGATGACAAAGTAAGATACTATAATGAAATGTGCAAAGAACTGGAGCAGAAATCAAAAGGGCTGGACTTGCTCACCGTTTCTTAAGCTGAAGGAGTTGAAAAATAAATTCAAGCCACGGGTGGCAACACTTAAAGATAGTTTGGGTAGAATGTTGAATGATCCAGGAATTATCAAAAGAAGATGAAAGGAGTACACAGAGTCCCTGTATTCAGAAGGAATTGGCTGACACAGAGGAATTTCATCAAATAACATATGAGCAAAAACCTGTGGTGATGAAGGAGGAAGTTGAAGTTGCTATGAAGGAATTGGCAAAAAGCAAGGCTCCAGGAGTTGACAGCATACCAATTGATTTATTTCAACAAAGAGACACTACCCTGGATGTGCTCACTAGGTTGTGCCAGGAAATCTGGAGGATAGCTAGCTGGCCAACTGACTGGAAGAGATCGATATTTGTTCCCATTCCAAAGAAAGGTGACCCAACAGAGTGTGAAAATTATTGAACAATATCATTGATATCACATGCAAGCAAGATTCTCTGAAAATGATCCAAAAACGTTTGGAACAATATGTCAACAGAGAACTGCCAGATGTGCAGGCTGGATTTAAAAGAGGTCGTGGTACTAGGGATATTATAGCTAATGTAAGATGGATCTTGGCAGAAAGCAGAGAATACCAGAAGAATGTCTATCTATGGGGGAGCTCTGGTGGCCTGGTGGCGGGGAGCTGCAACTGCAATCCCAGAGGCGCACGGTTCAAATCCACCACATGCTCTCCTGGGGAAGGAGGGACAATCTCCTGAACCAGTCAGATCTGATTTGATGGTGCATTCACACAAAAATAATAACATATAAAAAAAAATTAAAAAAAAAAGAATATCTATCTGTGCCTCATTGACTATGCAAAGGCTTTTGACTGTTGATCACAACAAGCTATGGCTGACACCGAGAAGAATGGGAATCTTAGAACATTTGATCGTGCTAATGCGAAACTTGTACTTGGTCCAAGAGGCAGTCGTCAGAGCAGGGAGACACTGGATGATTCAAAATCAGGAGAGGGGTTGGCCAGGGATGTTTTTTGTCTCCATACCTTTTCAATCTGTATGCAGAACAGATCATCTGAGACGCTGGGCTGTATGAGGAGGAATGTGGCATCAGGATTGGTGGAAGAATCGTCAACAGCCTGCGTTATGCAGATGACACAACCCTGCTTGCTGAAACTGATGAGGACCTGAAGCTCTTGCTGCAGAAGGTCAAGGACTGCAGTCTTCAATGTGGATTGAAGCTCAATATGAAGAAAACAAAAGATTCTGACCACTGGGGCAATTGGCAGCATCAGTATGGATGGTGAAGAGATTGAGATACTTAACAGTTTTAGTTTGCTTGGCTCCACAGTAACTTGGTAATAGCAACCAGAAAATCAAACGAATTTTACGGGGAAAGTCAGCTGTGAGGGACCTCTCAAGAGTATTGAAGTGCAACAACATCAGGCTGGAGACTAAGGTGTGCCTGATTAAGGCTATAGTCTTTGCAGTTACGTGCTATGCATCGGAGAGTTGGGCAGTGAAAAGGGATGATAGAAAGAGAACTGATGCCTTTGAGTTGTAATATTGGAGAAGAGTGTTGAATATACTGTGTACTGCTAGGAGAACAAACAGGTTTGTCTTGGAAAGGGTGAAGCCAGAATGCTCCCTAGAGTCAAGGATTCTGAGGCTTCGTCTGACTTACTTTGGGCATGTTGCAAGAAGGTCCTGGTCCTTGGAGAGGGACATCATGTTTGTGAGAGTGGAGGGACGGCACAGGAGAGGAAGACCTTTGATGAGATGGATTGATTCTGTGAGGGGAGTGGTGGGAATGAATGTGTTTGAGACAGCGAGGTTGGCACAGGATAGAACGGCGTTTAGGGCTCTTGTACATAGGGTCACTATGAGTCGCAAACAACTTGATGGCACATAACAACAACAACAGCAATTGAAAGGTGTGGTGTATTTACACAATGGAGTACTACACTGCATTGAAAAAGAAGGAACTCATGCAATATTATTCAAAATTGGTGACCCTGGAGGATATTATTCTGAATGAAGTATCTCAGTCACAAAAGGACAAATGCTACATGGTGCTTCTGTTGTAAAACAGGACTGACATCAGGATTGTGGGGAGACTGAGAAAGATGGGTTCATTAATGTATATTGCATTGAAACAGATGAGGGAGAAAACTGTATAAAAGTGATATGTGATTAGGTATTTTTGTCATGATAAGAGTCCAGAGCTAAGGCTGCATAGTGGAATGGACCTTGGGGGAGAGATTGTAAAACAATGGAAGACTTTTTCTTCTACTTTTCCAAGAGGTACTAGGGAGGAGGGTTGGGAGTGGGAAAGAGTGCAACAGTGAAGGAATGGAAATCCAAAATATCTGTAAATTTTCATTGAAACTAATAATTAAAAAAGAGGAAGGAAAAAAAATACTTCTCTAACAAGGTAAAAAGGAAAGCCAGAGACTGGGAAAAAATATTAATGGCATGTCTGATAAGGGACTTAATATCTAGAAATGATGCAACCCCTATGGAAGGCAGTATGGTGCTTTCTCAAAAAGTTGAAATTAGAAATACCATTTGACCCCGCAGTTGCAATACTGGGAATATACCCCAAAGAAACCATAACCGCCACCCAAGCAGATACATGTTAACCTATGTTTACCGTGGCTTTGCTCACAATAGCAAAGAGTTGGAAACAACGTAAGTGCCCATCAACAAACAGATGTATATAGAAGCTATGGTATATTCACACAATGGTATACGATGCAGCACTGAAAATCAAGGAACTAAAAATATTATCCAAAATGAGTGACCCAAGATGACATTATTCTGAGTGAAATATCTCGTCACAAAAGGACAAATAATTGCATGTCAGTGTTCGAAAACAGAACTGACATTGGGATTGGGGGGAAATTCAAGAAAACGGGATAAATAATGTACAGTACATTGAGACAGATGAGGGAAACTGTTAAAAAGGAATATGTGATTAGATATTTTCATGACAAGAATCCAGAATAAGAGCTGCATAGCAAAGTAGACTGCGGCAGGAATTTGTGCAACAATGAAATAATATTTTTTGAAAGAGAAAAGTGTACTGGTGGGAGGAAAATGTTAAACCGTTTATGAATGGAAAGCCAAGTTCTGTTTAAACTATAGTTAAAATCTCAGTTACAATTAAAGTTTGTAAAAAAGCAGGGCTGACCATCTACTTCTGAAATAATAGGTCCTAAAAAATCTATGATTAGCAGTGGAACATTATTCAATGAGCATCTCAGGTTAGTAGAACAAGAAAACAAGTGTAGCCTGCCTTTATGAAGTGGATGAAGTAAAGCCTTTATGCAGTGAAAATCTTCATTTGCTGATGTGGCAAGATTGAAAATGAGCAGAAAGAGTTGTTAGACAACATTATACCATTGATATTTGAAATCTAGAATGTATGCAGAATGAATCTAGAAAAATTGGAAATTATCAGAAATGAAATGGAATACACAAAGATTGACATCCCAAGCATTAGTGAGCTAAGATGAATTGATATTAACCAGTTTTGAATGTGACAGTTTTTACATCTGTGCTGAGAATGGCATAACAAGAGGAATGATGTCATATTCATCGTCCCAAAAGAACATTTTCACGTCTTCTCTGAGGTACAGTGCTGTTGTACTAGAATAATATCCATACCCATACAAGGAAGACCTGTAAATGAAACTATATTCCAATATACAAGCCAAAGATGAAGAAATTGAGGATTTCTGCTGACATCTGCAACTTAAAGTAGATCAAGTATGCAGTGTAGATGAGTTAATAGTAACTCTAGATTGGAATGCAGAAGTTGGAAACAGGAGGAGGAGGAGGACTGGTAGATATAAAATATGACCTTTTTGACAGAAATGAGGCTGGAGGATGATAGACCATGTACAAGAAACAATTTATTAATTTTAAGCACATTTTTCAAAGCAAAAGAAAAACCTACATATACCTCACCTGCAAGAATATATCAGCATGGAGTTGACTACAACTCTAGAAAGAGATAGTAGAAAAATACTCTATGAATAGTGAAAATAAGACTAGACCATAAGTTTTTTCTTCTGCAGGTTCTAATGGGGAGAAATTTTTTTTTTTAATATGAGAAGACTTTATTTCCTTTATTTTTTTTTTTTAGTCTTTATTTAATTTTTAATTTTTTTTTTCAATGAACATCTACAGAGATTTTGGAATTCCATTCATTCATTGTTGCACTTTTCTCCCCGCCCACCCCACCAGTACTCACTGTTCGCTCCTCTCCTTGAAAAGCAAACCTTCCTTCATTTGTACACAATCTCCCCTGCACACCCCCCACCCCCACCCCAAATACAATCCACTCCGCAACCCTCATTCCGTACTCTTATGATAAACATAATGCCCTAAAGGGGAGAAATTTTTTTAAGTACCAGAGCAGGGCAGTAGTACATGAGAGACATCAGATTATCCCACCAGATTTTAAAAACCATCACAATATCTTTGAGGCATTGAATAAAGAAAGACTAGATGAGTTGTGGAATAATAGCAAAGAGATCATCTGTGAAGAAAGACAAATGCCATTTGAAAGGCTGGAAAGAAAGAGAAGACCAAAATGGATGCTACAGGAAACTCTGAAGTTGCTTTTGAACTTAGAAAAGTTAAGTCAAAAGATCGAAACGTTGAAATAAAAGAACTGAAGGTTTCAAAGGGAAGCTTGAGAAGCAAAGTAAGGTATTATACCAAAATGTGCAAAGAACTGGAGTTAGAAAACGAAAAGGAAGAACAACATTTCAACAGTTCTTCAGTCTGACAGAAATGAGCAAATTTAAGTCTTTAGTTTAATACTGTATAGTCAGTAAGTTACCAGACACAGTGGAAGGAATACAGAGTCTCTGTACCAAAAAGAAACCTTTTCTGTGCTTCAGTTTTGTTTTAAAAATATATAATTTTCATTTTAAAAATCGTCAAATAAAGGAAAAATGTGGCACTTGCTGATGTTTTTGTTGATGTATCATTTTTTAACTTTGATTTTAAATGTCATTGGATTATTGCATTGAAATAACTTAATTGAACTTTTTTATCTTTTATTTCTATCATTTATTATTATTGCTTGTGTTTTTTAAGATGGTCTCTATCCAGGAATGCTTTGACATGCCAGTACATGAATGATGGTTGATTCAATTTTGTTTTGTTTTGGTTTTTTTTTATAGCTAAAGTGGTACCACAACAGATTACACATACTTCTCCTCGAATCCAGCCTGATTACCCTACAGAGAGGAGTAGCCTTATTCCCATTTCAGGACATCGAGCGTCTCCAAATCCCGTGGCCATGGAAACACGAAATGACAGTAGGTAGGTAGCAAAGTACCAGGAGGCACTGCTTTGTTGTGTCATAATATTTACTCATATCTTTATATATTCTCTGAGAATAAAATATTTCTTATGTGGAAAGTAATTTCAAAAATTTGAGTTCCGTCAAGTCAGAACATTACTCATAAGTGATCCTTCAACAGGTTTTCAGGAGGCTGTAGCTGCCAGGGGAAGACACTGTCGTCTCTCACACTCAAAGCTGCTGGTGATTTGAAACACCAGGCTTGGCATTTTGGTTAGCAAGGAGAGCTTCTTATGAAAAGTGAAGAGGGCTCAAGTGATGCTGTACTTATTTAGCTATTCTCTTTTTATTCTGTGTGTTATATCTGGTATTTTTTAGATTATTTAAGGGTTTGCAGCATCATAGTCCTGTACGCCTAAGTATGTCTGAATGTATCTCATAAGAATAAACTCATCATTTCTGTAGCTCTTTTTCAGATTTTACTTGGCTTTCATACATTGATATTTTCAACAATTATATATGGAAAAGTATGGAAAATTATATATGGAAAAATATGGATAAAATGTGGAATATTTTTTAATTAGAAGTTTTGGGTAGTGTCTTTATGGCACCATTTAGATAACACATTTGTGTTTGGATTACCATTTTATTATTTTAATATGTTAGAGTGTTAGTATTTTTCTTTCATGTATTGTTTTTAATATATTATTGTGTTACTATTTTTAGTAGAAAACTCTTATTATTTGTCCCATTATTCATTATGTTTAATGTTGATTAGCTAGCTGAGGTGATGTTTGCCAGTTTTTTCTTTTCAGATAATTTTTTGTCCTATATGTTTAAGTAATCTATATGGAGATATGTTGAAATTATGAATATATTGTGCTCCAATAAACTTCTGTTACTTTTACTATCATTGATTATTCTTGGCTGGAAAGTGTTACAAAGAAATGTGCAAAGAACTGGAGTCAGAAAATCAAAAGGGCCATACTCGCTTAGCATTTTCTTTTTTTAAAATTTTTATTATTTTTTTTGTGTGTGTATACCGTCAAATCGGATCTGTCTGGTACAGGAGGAGATTGTCCCTCCTTCTCCAACAGAGCATTTGATGGATTGGAACTGCATACCTCTGGGATTGCAGTGCAGCTTCTTGGCCACTAAGCCACCAGAGCTCCCTTTGCTTAGCATTTCTTTTTTTTTTTTTTCAT